TAGTGAATGGATACATTTTCAAAATTTATTACAGTAAAAGGCATATTGATCTTAATCCTGCTCAAAATACTTGCCCTCACTTCAAACACACATCCTAATGTTCTTGCTACTTTCTGAAGCACTTCTGGAAGCCCTCTTTCATGTCCTCATGAGGTATGATAAAATATGTGGTGAATGCTGCTGCTGTGTACCATCCAATGGAAGGGTAGACTTGTAAAAACATTTCAATGTGTCCTCATTCACCTTATTCATTGTATATTGAACCATACAACTTTACATTTCCTTCAAAGTCAAAATGACCATGAAAGGTAATGGCTTTGAATTGATTCAAGATACCAAGGCAACTAAAACAGCGTAACTAAAGACACTTATGAAACACAACTTCTAGAACTGCTTCAGAAAGTGGCAAGAATTAAGTAATAAGTGTGTTCAAAGTGAGGAGGAGTATTTTGAGGGTGATTAATTGCAATGTGTCTTTTACTGTAATAAAATTTTTAAAATTTAAATATTCGTCTTATTTTTCAATCACATCTTATAGATCAATGGATAGAATAGAGGACTCACACCCACATAACTACTGCCATCTACATCTTGATGAAGGAGCCAAAAATATACATTGTATAAAAGACAGCCTCTTTAAAAAAGGAAAAGGAAAAATTATGAGAAAGAAAAAGAAATGGAAACAAAGTCTATGTAAATAGGGAAGGGTGGCAGGGGTGAAGGACGCATAGGTAATGGGGGAAAAAATAAGAACTAAGATACATCACGTTCAGGTACAAACACCCAATGATAAATGTAAAAGTATTGTATACCTAAAATGTACCAATTAATATATAAATTTAAAAAATAATAAAATAAAATGAGAATTTAAAAAAATGGCCCTGGTAAAACTGGATATCCCTATATAGAAGATTGAAATTAGATCCCCATCTTTCACTCTGTATAAAAATTGGTCAAAGACCTAGGTATAAGACCTGAAATTTTGAAAGTAATAGAAGAAAATATAAGGGAAAAACTTCAAGAAGTAGGCACAGACAATGACTTATTGAATAGCTCAGGAAATAACAGCAATAATGGATAAAATGAGATTACATCAAACTAAGAAGTCCTGCACAGCAAAGGCAACATTAAGAACAAAGAGAGCCTACAGAAGGGGAGAAAATCTTTGCCCGCTACTCTTTCAGAGAATTCATATCTATATATTTTTTTAAAAACTCAAAGTAAATAACACTGAAACATCAAGTACCCCAATAAATAAGTGGGCAAATGAATTGAACAGACACTTTTCAAAAAAAAAAGTACTAATGACCAATAAGTATATAAAAAGATGCTCAAAGCTTTAGCCATTTGTTACAGCTTGTGTTTAGATATCCCCCCCAAAACCTCATGTGGTCATATGTGGTGTGGATCTAGAGTGTGTGATGCTGGAATTGATTCATGGTGCAATGCTAGGATAAAGGGCACTAGGATTAAGGATGTGAGTGCTACCCACCCAAAGTAGCCTGGATAAGATATAAGAGAAAGAAAGAGCTGTGGATGTCCCTTGCTTGTTTTGCTACCTTCCACCCACCACGAACTGTTTTTCCTCTGCGATTCCTGACTGCCACACCAACCTGCCTTGGAGATCTATTTAGTTATTGTCTGCTTCCCAGTGCTGTGATTTTGCCTTAGTGTAACTTGATATTTATCTACCTCTTCAAACTACTAACTTTAATAGGATTGGATCCAGCTGCTTCTGTGTTAGGCAACTCTTCCTCATTCTTGGTGCCAGCTGGCAGTGGTTGGTCACTCGAACTCACAAGTGTGTACCAGAGACCAGTTCACTTTCTCTCTCCCCAACATTGCTCATGCCCAGATCCTCTCAGGACTGATGATCTGTGAGGGAGGGGATGGTGATGGCAGGGATGGAGCCAGGTGATAGGCAGACAGAGTCTGAAAGTAGCAGGGATGCAAGGGGACTTGGACTCCTTTGAGTGGACTCCAAGGAGGAGTTGGGAAGTCGAGGGGAGATAGAATTTTTTGAGGGGAATTTCAAAAGTGTAGGCCTCTACAGGAAGGAGAGGAGTGTGAAGGGAAAGTGTCAGTGAAGTAGGACCTCAGAGCCTAAGAGTGAGGGGGCTGGGAGACAAGATGGCCAATGAGAGGGGTGAAGGTGTGTGTTACAGGCATCTAGTGTGCAGCAGGCACCTTGCGCTCCAGCTGCAGGGTGCTACTGAATGCAGTGGAGGCAACCTGATCATCTCTGGCATGCTATAATTTTTTTTTTTTGATACCGGGGTTCGAACTGGAGACCTTGCAAGGCAGGTGCCGGAACCACTGAGCCAAATCCCCTGCCCCCCATAATTTTTTTTAAAGATGCTGTACTTTAAAAATTGCAGCCAAAGTTTATGTCATAATATCTGACTTTCCATGGGAATTTTAAATTTGAATACATCATTTTACAATGAGATATCATTAACATTTTTATACAATACTGAATTATTCTCTGTGGAATTTATGTTTTACATTTTTTTCTAAATGGGGAAAGAATTCAACATACATGTAAGCAAATCATAAAGAACTCCAAATAGGCAGGATCAGAAAAGGATTTCCCCACAACATATCATAGTCAAAAATCCCAGAAATCCAACATAAGGATAGAATTTTATAAAAGACATTTATGACAAAACAATGTGGCCATATTAAATGGGGAGAAGCTAGAAGCTTTCCTTTCAAACTCAGGAAAAAAGAAAAGGATGTCCACTATTGCTATTTTTTTTTTTTGTACCAGGGATTGAACTTGGGACCTTGTGAAGCAGGCAGCAGAACCATTGAGCTAAATCCCCGGCCCAGCTTCTTTTTCAATATAATACTCAAAACCATTAGCCATAGCAATCAGGCAAGAGAGAGAAATAAAAATGATATGTACAGGAAATGAAGAGATCGAAGTTTCACTATTTGCAGACAGCATGATCCTTCATATTGAAGACCAAAATATTCCACCAAAAGATTTCTAGAATTAATAACCAAATTCAGCACTGTAGCAGGATAGAAAATCAATACACAAAAATCAATAGCATGTCTGTACACCAATAATGAACACACTGAGAAAGAAATTAGGAAAACAATATCATTCACAATAGCATAAAAAATTAAATACTTAGGAATTAACCTAACCAAGGAAGTGAAATACCTCTATAATGAAAACTACAGAACTCTGGAGCTACAATAATAAAAAAGAAATCACCATAGTATTGGCACAAAAACAGACATGTGGATGAACAGAACAGAATAGAGGATACAGAAACAACTTCAGGCACATTCAGACATTTGATCTTTGACAAAGGGTCCAAAAACATACTGGAGAAGGATGGCCTCTTCAACAAATGGTGTTGGGAAAACTGGTTATCCATATGTAAAAGACTGATTCTATGCACAAGTCTTTCAGCATCCACTGAAATAAAATCAAAATGGATCAAAGACTTAGATATTAAGGCAGAAATAATCTGCTGGAAGATAAAATAGGTAAAGACATACACATAGGCATGGACTTTCTGAACAGAACCCCAACTGCACAAGAAACAACATCAAAAATCAACAAATAGGATTATATCAAATTTTAAAGCTTCTGAAAGACAAAAGAAACAACCAGCAGAGTGAAGAGACAACCTACAGAATGGGAAAAATTTTGCCAGCTACTCCTTAGACAAAGGACCAATATCTAGAATACATAAAAGGACTCAAAAAAATTAGCCCCCCCCAAAATAAATGGCCCAATTAAAAAATGAACAATTGAAATAAATAGACCACTTCTCAGGAAAAGAAATACAAATGACAAATAAATACATGAAAAAATATTCAGTAACTCTGGCCGTTAGACAAATGCAAATTAAAACAACACTGATATTCCATCTTACTCCATAAAGAATAGCTATCACCAAGAAACCAAACAATTACAAATGCCGGCAAGGCCATGGGGAAAAAGGAATCCTTCTAACATCACTGGTAAGAATGTAAACAAGTACAACCACTATAAAAATCAATATGGAGATTCCTCAAAAGCCTAAAATTAGAAATTCCATTCAACCCAGCTATACCCCTTCTAAGTATCTTCCCAAAAGAGTTAAAGACATCCTATTCCAGTGACACATGCACACTCATATTTATAGCAGCATAACTCATAACAACAAAATCTTAGAGGTGGCCCATATATGCATCAAGGGGTGAATAGGTAATGAAAATATTATATATATATATATATGCAATGAATTGTATAAAGGATAAATCTGAGTCACCTGTAGGAAATTGAATGTACCTTGAGACCGTAATTCTTAGTGAAATAAGTCAGACACAGAAGTTTAAATATTGCATGGTTTATCTTATATGAGAAACCCAAAGTAGAATTTAAAGAGCAAAATAAAAGATAGATAAGAGGAAATAAGGAAATAGATCTTTTGCAAATGGGAAGACGATCTAGAGATGGAGGGAGGGGAGAGAGAGACAAGGGAAGTAAAAAGGATTAAGATATGATATTGCATGTAACAATTTCTCACAATGAATGTATTCATTATGTATCACAGGCATGTACTGATAAAAATAAATAACATGGCTGGGGATTTAGCTCAGTGGTGCCACCACCTGCCTTGCAAGCACAAGATCCTGAGTTCAATCCCCAGTACCAAAAAATAAAAATAAATAAATAAATAAATAAATAACATAAAATTATAGTATGGTTATGTGATTAAAGGACCCCAAAGATACTGCTTTTTCTGACATTATATATGTATATTCAAAATAAAAATTTTTTAGGAAAAGTATGTGCAAAAATAAAATTAACTCTGCCAGCATTTTTGTTGAGAAATAGATTATTTCTCTCTCCCTTTCTCTCCCTTCCTCTTCCTTTCCTCTTCTCTCTCCCCCTCTCCGTCCATCCTTCTCTTCTCAAATGTAGCCATAATTCTTATTCTTTCAGACATATTTATTTAAAATCTCAAGAAGGTGAATGAAGGGAAAATACTCACTCAGCAATGTCAGTTCTTGGCTTGTTGCTCTCCTTAACACCAGCCATAGCCATGAACAAACAGTTGACCACAACGGTGCAGATGATGAACATGCTGAACAATGTGACCAAAACATTAAATTAAGGTAGACACTCTGCAGGACAGCACATGACATTGACTAGTGTCGTACAGGCTGTTACTGTTGTGGGGCCTCCACGCTGTCTTTTCCAGAGGTGCATCTATTCTCTGACTGAGAGAGTTGACTGAGGACAACTCATGCCTGTCCCTTCCTCTGGAGAAAGGCTTCTAGCTGAATGGCAACCTCCTCACCTGGAGAGCTATACATCCCTTTCCACATAGCTGGCTGACACAGATGACAAAAATCTGACCCTTTGCTTCAAAGTTGGACAACTCTGGTTCATCCAAGTTCCAGAGCTCCTCATAGGTCATGCTTAGGTAGACTTTGCTAAGATCTCAGCCTCGTTTAGCTTCCCTTTGTCCTCCAGAGAGCATTCCTCTAGTAAGTCACTTAAATAAGAGTCCCCTCCTCCAGCCCTATTTCTAGGGAACCCAATCTAGCTAGTTATTCATTACCATTCTCTCAATATTTTATTAGGTCTACCAATCTATGTCTTTTTTACCTCCTCCCATCTAGAATGACCTAGTGTTTCCTGCAACACCCTTCACACATTATAAATGTTCAGTAATTCCTGTCTTTATCCTTTAAAAGTGAGTCTGCAAACTCTAAGTCATACAGATCTGACTTGGAAAGTCACATACATTTGTGAAAAGGAAAAAGAAGAGAGGTACATATGTTACAAAATAGAGCTTGCATGCCCTCTCCAAAAGAGGTAGTGATTCTGTACGACACTGATTCTTTGCCAAGTAAGAATACAGGCCTAGGCTTGGCAGAAGTTCAATTTTCAAGAGAAGCTAGAAACTTGAACCATTCATGTTAGAAAATGTTTCCAAAGTGTTTTAAACACATGGGTCCAACACAATGCATTTATCTACTCAAATGATGCACAGGTTTCCAGTTTCCAGCCCTTGTTTAGGTATCCACTTAGATTCCTTCCTCCAAGAAGTCAGCCACATTGATGTCTCCAAAGCAAACAGGGCCTCCTGCTGCCACCTCCATACTATGAAAACTGCCCACCTCTATATCATCTTCTGAAGCTGAGGACCCTAGCACAGGGGCCACATTACCTTCGCACCCAGCACTCAGCACAGTGTCTGCCACGCAGCAGCAGCACTCAGCCAGTATTTGTTGAAAGAATGAGAATTTTATCCCATTCGGTAAACATGTGAACCCCTGGGTTTGCACTTTTCACATGATCTGGACTAAAAGGATATGAATGGACCAAGATTTTAATGGCTAAACTTCTGATGGGATTGAAAGGTCCAAAAACGAACAAGGCACGCTTGGCACTGAAGCGGTAGATTGTTCTCTTCTTGTTCAACACCATAAATGTCTGCAGAAAACCAAACACAACAGGAATTAAGTGCAATGACAAAATAATATTTATCATGAGTTCATTTAGAGAAGCACAAGTTCCATCCTGGCTTGGCTTATAATGAGAACTGCAGCTTCTGGTTACAGAATCGTCATTCTGAAGCCTAAGGTACTTTCTGAGCAGCTACCCTATGACTCTGGAGCCCAGTGGATCCCACCACCACCACCACCACCACCATCACCTGTGTTAAAGATAAGTGTGGAATGTGAGCTATTCGTCTTCTGGGATACTATGGAGGAACCAGAGGTGGAGAACTTGGGCCCTGAAAATACAGAAAGTAGGGTATGGAGTAATAACTGGGACAAACAAAGCTCTTAATATTCAATTTCAGGCTATGTATTTGTGAGGACTGGAAGAGAATTTAAAGAGATGGAAATTGGGCTTTGGGTATTCACATTAGTAGATTATTTTAAATTACTATTATTAATGATCTTAAGATATGAAGGGACTTGGAGGACCCATATAGTTACGCTGCAGCCCTCAGTAGTTCTACATAATGTAACCAGTATATATGCTAACCTTTAAGATCTTCCAGAAAAAAAAATCACCAAGGTTCTCTGACTTGGTCTCCCATCCTGCCCATCCCCCATACAAATAAGAACAAATCTGCTTTTACAGTGTTTAACTAGTGGAAGAGGTGAGTGCTGCCCTTACAGAAAGCATTTGGAAATGTGTGGGTGTTTTTGACTGTCTGCCACAACACCTGAGTGCTCTATTGGTCTCTGGTTGGTAGGTCCAGGGATGCCAAATACAGGACAGAGCTGCCAAATCGTGCATTGTCCTACTCAAAGCTCCCAGTTGGACTCCATTGAAAAATACCAAGCCTGTGCTCATTTCTGCCCAGAATGTGTTCCAGAGCTCTGAGAATGAAGCAACTCCTGGACAGTAACCTATCACTCATGGCCTCTAATATCAGCCCCCAGACTTCCTTTTTTTCCGTTTAGCTGTAATCTGACTGTCCTCTTATCCATTCCCAAGGCTGTCAGTTACAAAAGCCTTCATAGGATGAAGGTCATCCCTGTTTTCCATCTCTTTGCTCCTTTCAGATTCACAAAATCATACTTGAGCATGTATCTCAGCATGTTGTCAAAGAGGAAGAACAGAAATTGACAACCTGTCCAAAAGCATCTGAGCAAGTGCTGTCTTGACTCAGGTACCAGAACTGCAGCCACTGTCGACCATAACCTTCCTTTAGTGAGTTATTGGAATACACTGGTCTGAGAGCATCTGGCTACAGGGCAAAGTGCAGATAGGATTATTTTCCTGGGCCTCCATAGGAAAATTAAATGGCTCACAGGGTTATTTTAATATCATAGTTCCAAGATCCCTAGACCTGCTTAGGGGACTCTCTCTCTTTGAGGTTGGTCACCCTAGAAAATATGTAAAATGACATAGCTGTGTTTCTGTACCTATTGATTTTGATGTTTTATTGATATAACTTCTAACTGCTTCAAATATTTTAACTAATGATGCATTTATACTTGCTAGGGCTTTCATGATTAGAATGACAAGTACCAGCTTCTCCTGCCTGTTCGTTGACCCTTCTTCACACTTTCCTTTGTAGCTCTTCAAAATGGATGCTTCTAAAGGGAAAATCTGGCCTAGGACTGCAGAAAGAGCTCTTGAGCTTGAGCCCTAGCCTCACCACACACTGATGTGGTGTAAGCACTTCTCTGTGTAGGCTGCGTTTTCCTCATCTGTAAGGTGCAGTGCCAATGATGATTACACAGCTGTTGAGGGTGCCAGCCATAGAAGATCATGAGTATGCAGAGCTTAAAACAAGTATTATGTCTTCTGATTAAAAGGGAAGACCCACACTAAGTAGATGTCATACAACAGCCACCCAGGTTGGAACAGTGTCCTTCCAAGACTGTCTGAAGCATGCCAGGCACTACCTGTACCATGGGTCCCCTATCCAGCACCAAGGTACAAAGAAGCTGCTCCCAGTCAACTCAATGCCAACAACTGTGCCAACAAGAAGCCCCTGGAGTTCTGGGACATAAGGGAAAGAAGAAATACTAAAATACTTTTTCTCCCTTGTCTCTCTTCCCCTTGCTTATTCCTTCCTCTCTACACTCAGTCCCCACTATGTCCAGTTTCAAGGATATACAAATCAGGCACCCTTTCTCTGAGGAGTTAAGTTTTTCATGGATGCCAGTATAAGATCCTCTCAGCATCTCATACTTTTTGGGTCTCCTACAAGCTCCTAGCCCCTTCCCTCCCACCTCAGTCTGACGAGGTAAGCTTTCCATCCTAGCTGGATCACACAGTGAAGCGGTAATAAGGTTTGCAGACCCTTTTTAAACGAGGAAAGAAAACTGGTCTCACAGTCCCAAGCTGTCCAGGAGCCAGCAGAGGAGCCCAGAACACATATTTTTTTCATTCTAGAGCCCTTTAAGGAACTTTTACTAGAATTTCCTACAAGAGTTGTATTTAGATAGATAAAGCAGCAGAGTTTGCATATTTTTAAGTGCGATTTACATGTAATCTGCATGTGCTCATTGGTTAACATTTTCTTAGATTTCATTTCTTAAACTCCTATTATACATCAAATGTTGGTTTAACTTTCATTAATCTCATCTAATGGCCTAGAATGCCTACTGTGCAAAGTTTTTTGAGGTAAAATTTTATTGCTGATATGGGCATTCCTGGACAATGATGTTCATCCCAGAATGACGACTTATGAAGATTTCCATTGCATGTCTATGTGGTGAGGTAGAAAAATCAGACATCATTCCCATTTTACAGATTAACAAAGTGAAGATCTGTAATGGTTTAGCCAGTCATAAAGCCAGTCACTTGAAATTACCTACACCTCACTTCTCTGACTGCCAAAGCAGCCCCCTTTTCTGATTACCACTTTGACTTTTCTCTATTCTTCTTTGTGGGGGATGGTTCTCTTTTTGCGATAGAGTCTCACTTTGTAGCCCAGGGTGATCTTGAATTCATGGCAATCTTCCTGCCTCAGCCTCCTGAATCCTGGGATTACAGAGGTGCGTCACCACACCCAGCTCTCTCTATTCTTTTTAACCTTTTTGCTGCCCTTTGTCCTTCTCTTCTCCCTCAATACATGCATCAGAGAGAGAAAATGGGGACTGAAAGGGGTTCTTAGGACTACAAAGACAATAACATTGGGTAATACCAAAGGAGAGGCACAGCCTGCCCTCTATAAACCCAAAGGTCAGTGTTTGGAGAACCTGTAAGATGTATAACTGGATGCAACCCCACATCCCCACAAAATCACCTTATGATTTCTGTAGAATGGGTCCAAGTCTTCCAGGGGCTTTGCTACCAGCTCATGTGGAATGTTGCCATAGAGCTTGGGCAACTTCCTAGAGGCCTTTAGGTCAAGCTGAGGTCGAGGCAGGGGTTCAGATGCTGTCTTGTCTTTGGACTTCTTTTTCTCTTTTTGGATAGCAATCCGCTTCTCTATTGCAGCCAGGGAGTCGGAAGTGAAGGGACGGAAATTTCGCTCATCTGGGAAGATCACTGGGTAGCACCTGTCATCCATCTTCAGCCTTGAGACAGAGACAAGCCACAGGTCCTCAGACTGCTCTGAGGAGGTAAAATGATGCACCTCTCCCTCGATGTCACTCTCAACAGATGGTGTCGTGGGAATCTACAAGGGTTGAAGCTGAGGTTAGAGGGCTTTGGTGTTGACTGGCCATGGTGTGGATCAGAAGTGACCACCGCTGTGGGCACAGCAGAAACTCTGGACACAGACAAGACCAAAGAAGATGTCATTCCCAGAGGACCTAGGGATAGTTAGGAAGCTGAATTCAGAAACAAGTGAGCAGAAGCTGAGTCTGTAAGACTGAGAGCCAAGCATAGAGCAAGGCAGTAAGGCTGAATAGTGGGCCTGCCAAGGCAGACAGGTGGCCAGCATGGTGCAAACAGGAGGGGAATGTATAGGTGGGCATAGCCATGGGTTACAAAAGCAAAACTATACATGCATGTGTCTTTCTTCACATTGGTTTATAAAGTTCTTGAAATGTGCTAGAATGAAAACAAAAGAGCCATAAACAAAGATATGAACGTTGATGCTAATACCTATAATCCTATACCAGCTCTCTTACTTCTGGAACCCAGACCCTCACAAAGTAAGGCTGCAGGAAAGCAGAAATAAGAGAGTCCCTCTGTCATAGGACAATAGCCTCTGTTGGGACTTTCTCTATTTCTCCAGGTATAGAGAACCCCCTGAGAAAAACCAGTAGTATTCAGGCTGAATGTCCTTATTCCCTATGGCAGCCATCCTCTTCTTTTTCTTGTTTTTTTTGAACTCACTATGTAGCCCAGGCTGGCCTCAAACTCATGGCAATTCTCCTGCCTCTGCCTCGAGAGTGCTGGGATTACAGTCATGCACCACCACACCTACCTCCTCTTCCTTTTCTTATTTACTAAATGGACTGGCTGTCACATCATTCCAGGGGATTAGTGATGAACCCAACACACCACTGGTTTCTTGCATGGTCTAGGCATGGTTTTAGGCACTGATGGTGAAAAGACCACATTCCCTGTCTTCCTAGTTCTGGAGTTATACTGTTCTGGTGTAGCAGAGGAGACAGGCATAGCAAATTACAGAAGAGTGGGCCAATATTGTATCTGTGCATAAAATAGGTGTGTAGTCAGTTTTGGGGAATCAGGTGCCCTGAGACCTGAAGGGCACATCAGATTTGGAAAACAGAAGCAAAAGCAAAACAAAAAAGAAAACAGTACATTAGGATGTTTTCCTAATGGCAGCAGTATACTCAGGGACCCACAGGTAAGAAAGAACAAAGTGCCCAGCAAGCAGTTATTTGTTGTTGCTGTTTTTTGGTTTGTTTGTTTGTTTGTTTGTTTGTTTTTGAGACAGGGTCTCACTATGTAATTTAGGCTGTTCTTGAACTCATTATGTAGCCCAGACTGGCCTCAAAATGATGATGATCCTTCTGCCTCAGTTTCCTGAGTGCTGGGATTACAGGTGTGTATCACCATACCCAGCTCAGCAACCAGCTCTATTTACCGAGAATGGAAATTTCATGGAATGGAATGGCCCCTATGTGTATGAGCAGGCCTTTAATCTCTGTAAAGATCAATGGGAAATCGCCAGAGGATTGGGTTTTCATTGTTGTTATTATTACAGGGAACAGCACTACCAGTTTTTTAAAATTCCTCTACCTGATAAGAATTGACAGGGTTTGAGACACAAGAGGCTAGAATCCAGGAAATGAGCTTGAAAACTGCGGGAACAAAGAAAATCACAGAGGGTGACCTAATGGAATGGAGTTCTGAGCTACATAAGAACAAGGGAGAGATTTGAGAAAAGCGCCTTACCAAGGCTCCTGCCTTGGTCAGCAGGACCAACAGTGGTGCAACTCACTGAGATAGAGAGTGCTAGGAAAGGAGAAAGCTTTGGGGGAAGAAATTCAGCTTAAAACAGAGTCAAGGCTGCTTGGGAGATTTTTAAGTGGAGAGAACAGGAAGCACCCGCATACAGGAAAATTATAGTTTATATGCATTTGATGCCAAAAAAAATAACACAAAAGAAAAAAACACCATCAAAACTTCTCTTCAAAATACATTAGGAGCCGGGGATTTAGCTCAGTAGTTCTGGCGCCTGCCTTGCAAGCGCAAGGTCGCAAGTTCGAGCTCCAGTACCAAAAATTAATTAATTAATTAATTAATTAAGAAGGAATAATTGAGAGGAAACTCAGCACACAGCTCAGCCAGCTTTTCTTCCAGTGCTGGAATTAGTGATTCTCCACTCAACCCCAAACAAGGTAGTTGGATTGTATTTAAGGGCCATGGTAGGGGCAGTGTATGTCTTCAAACACATGAGGTTTAGGGCAATGCGATGTTAATACTGTTTGAGCCATAGGTCAACTGGAGTCAAATAGGGTACTGTAGATTCACTGCGTTTTATCTCATTTAGGGTCAAACTCATTAATGATGGGCCTGGATGATAAACTTGCTCATACTGTTTAAATAATTTTTTCTACCCCCACCCCACACTCATAAAAATATATAATTGAGTTTAAATAAATGAAGTGGGCATAATGGATATAGAGCTCAAGAAAGATATTTAAGACCAAGATTAAGGTTTTACGCAGTCCACAGGATATGAGTGCTAGTTAGTCCTATAACATGAGAAAGCCCTTGGATGGCAAAATTTGGACCCTATGCTACGTTACTGCAAGGATCCCAGTGGAGAACTGCTGCCATTGTACAGACCAGTGAAGAGGAAGCTGGAAACTCTGATCCTGCCATTTTGACCCTGA